GAAAAGGTAGTGGGAAAGAGGCTCATGCATGCTTGTCAGTTAAATCACAGAGGCAAGCTAGTGACATTGATTTCAGAGCCAGTTACCATTTTGAAGATGATGGGCAAGTTGCTTAATCTTTCTGAACTTTAGGTTACTCATCTCAAAAAATAAGCCTGGCATTTTGGAAAGCATTTGTGGCCGACTCTATTTTTCAAAGTCGGCTGCAACGATGGCTCCCATCCCACACAGTCAGTCCCAGGTGACTGCGACACGTCTCCTATGGAGAGGTGGGGGTTGCCTTGGTCTATTTGAACCGGTTTAACAAATTACCGTAGACTGTGTGCCCAAAACAACAATCCTTTATTTCTCACAGTTCTAGAAACTGGAAGTCCGAGATCTGGCTGCCAGCATGGTTGGGTTCTGCTGAGAGCCATCTTCTGGGTTGCAGACTGCTGACTTCTCCCTGTGTCCTCACATAGTGGGAGAAGAGCAGTCCAGCTCTCTGGTTTCCATGAGCGCTCCAGTCTTATGACCTAATTACCTCCCAGAGTCCCCACTGCCAAATACCAACACATCGGGAATTAGACTTCAACATATGAATTTTGGAGGAAAATAAACAGTCAGTCTATAACAGAGTCTATACTCAATTCTCTTGTATCTGGAGGGGTACGGTGAACACAATGCTGTGTGACTTCCAAGGTTAGGTCATGGAAGAAGACACTGAGAAAGAAAAAAAAAGGCAGTCTTTAACATTTGGAAGCTGGCCTGCCACTCACAGCTAGGCCATATCTTTCTCTTATTGGACATAAACAATCTCACAGAGCACCACTTTCAGACAAGATTACTCTGAGACCATGATAAAATGAGACAAAACCAGGCCACTTCATAATTTTATCTAAGCACAAAACATGGTCACCTCACTATGGTACCCACAAAATACCAACTCTCCTTCTCTTTTGATCAAAATGTTTGACTGCTACTTCTTTATCAGTTGCAGTTATCCTCGCCCTAGTCTGATTTATTGAGATACCAATCAGAATTCCTTCCAATCTGACAGCATTCAAGCCAGGGTGAATCAATCTGTGCTTCCTTAAGCCACTAAACCAAAGCCTGAATCCTAGAATAGGTTCTCTCTAACGTCCTTTTCCTGAGACATCCAGTAATTCTCCCATGGGTTTGTTCTCCCTCGCGGCAAGGAGTAATAAATTCAACTTGCTTAACTACATGTATATTCATGGTAGTCTTTGGCTAGAGGACACCAGCAATGGTTTGGCTTTTTTCTCTTAGGACACTTGCTTGGAAGGGAAATTGGCTGCCATGTTAGCAGACTACCCTAATGTCACCAGGTGGTGAGGAAGACAGCTGTGGGGTTGTCAGCACGCGGTAAGAGATCGCATGGCACTAAGTGGAGAGAAAGATGCTGCAAGCTTAATGCTCCCTCATGTCCACTCCCTTGCCGTCTAGCTGCAGCTGCCTTCCGACTACAACTGCATGAAAGGCTCTGAGCCAGAACCGCCTGGCTCAGACCTTCCAAAATTTCTGATCCACAGAAACCACAGGAGATATAAAATGATTAACCAATTTTTTGAAGCCACTAAGATTTGGGGTGATTTGATATATAACAATAGATAGCTGGGACAGTAATGTAATTGAATTGATGTGATTGAATGTAGTTGAAAATTACATCAAGTATTTGGCTCATGGTAGGTGAGTAGGTGCTCAATAAGTGGTAGCTGTTTTTTGGGTACCTGTGAGAAGTAAGATTATTACGTGCAAAAATCTCCAACACTTAAACAATTTTTTCCAGTAAATTTCCTTTGACAAAAAACTTGTGGATTGTTGCCCACAGATCCACTCGATGCATTTTAATCCTGATACCTAAATAATGTGGACTGATCAATAATCCTGTGAGGACGTGAGCTCAATTTGGAGCAATGCCAGAGCAATACTCCTATGGCTACTTTTTGAGCATTTCCTGTTTAGAAAATACATATAACTTTGTCCATAACTTTAGAATCCACGTCAATGGTTGGCTATTTCCTGGCCCCATTTTCCTGTGGGGGTAATTTGTTGAATATGTTGAGTCAAGCAGACTTATTGAGAAATGCCTTTTTTTTTTGGCACGGGGAGGTAATTAGGTTTGTTTGTTTGTTTGTTTTTAATGGAGGTACTGGGGATTGAATCCAGGACCTTGTGCATGCCAAGCATGCGCTCTGCCACTTGAGCTATACCCTCCCCCCAAAAATGTCTTAATTGAGTATTTTTCAAATTGTAACAGTAATATATGCCCATAGTAAAGATGTATAAGACAATCCTCTCTTATTTCCCTCCACAAAACCCCCTACTCCCACCACCCTCATGACTTAAACCAGTATCATAGCCTGGTGTGTATTCTTTTACACCCTTCTCCTTGCTCATATAAACATGAGAGTATAAGATATGGATATAAACATCTGTGTTTCTATAAAGATATTAAGTTACTTTGTTGGTGGTTTTTACTAAAATGGAATCATACCAGACAATTATTCTATAACTCTGCAACTTTTTGCACTTGACAGTGGTCATGATCTCTAAAGTTAGTGTTTGTACACCTGCATTTGTTTCTTATGGCTGCTGTAGCAAATTACCACCAGTTTAGTGGCTGAAAACAAAACAAATCTATTCTCTTACAGTTCTAGAGGTCAAAAGTCTGACATCAGTTTTACTGGACTATAGTTAAGGCTGAAGTCAGCAGGGCTGCTTCCCTCTCAATGCTTTAAGCTTCTGCTGCTCTTATTCCTTGGCTGGTAAAGCCTCCTCTATTTTCAACGCATATCACTCCGATCTGGGCTTCCATCACCGGATCACCTTCTCTTCTGTTGTAAATCTCCCTCTGCTTCCCTCTAATAAGGACGCTTGTGATTACCTGATGGCCCACCAGATAATTCAGGATACTCTTCCCATTTAATCACATGTGTGTAATTTACTCACATCTGTAAACTCCTTCTATATAAGGCGACATTCTCAAGTTTTAGGGATTAGGGACTGGATATTTGGGGGGGGCATTATTCAGTCTGCCACAACACCTAAGCTCATCTTTTAACCTCATGTATTTATACAAACACACTTTTGTATCACACATGCTGGAGGAATTTTTTTTAAGTGAAGTTTTCTTTTTTCCTATTTCTGCATCCCTTAACTTTTTAAGGATTACTTTTGATGACCCTGGATGAACTGCCACTTTTTAAAAAAATATTTTATTTTAAAAAATTTTTGGTGGGGGGGAAGTAAATTGATTGATTGATTTTTTAATGGAGGTACTGGGGATTGAACCCAGGACCTCAAGCATGCTGAGCATGCACTCTACCACTGAGCTATGCCCTCCCCCGCCTCCTATACCCCCACCAACCCCTACACCTCTCCCCCAACCTGTTTCCTATGACTTAGACATTTAAATTTCTTAGCACTTTATAGTTTGTCGGTATGTATAATATTTGTATTAATAAAGCTGTTTGTTTAGCAGAAAAAAAAATGCTCCATGCCCACATAACCATACACATATTGTGAATAAGAAGTGAATCTGATTTAGGGGAGACTTGAGGATTATTGCAGCAAGAGGACGGAAACTCTCTCCTGCGGGGGTGGGGGAGGGGAAGTGGAATAAAAAGGTGGCTTGATTGGATAGTAGACTAGAGAATGTTTTCCCTGAGGCGAGGCCTGTTAAGGAGGGGTTACACCGCTGGCTCAGGCAGAGGTGGGTGAGCATTTCTAGGCCTGGAAGAAGATAGGAGTTTAACCAGTCTGGTTAACAGGCATTTTGCTCTGATTGGTCAGTGGGGACAAGCAGTTCAGCCAATCATTTTGAGGCAAAGGATGGGAACTTGGAAGGTCTGTGTCTGGCCTTGTCCTAGGTGAAAAAGACGGCATCTCTGGGTCTCACCTAGTCATACGGAGTGTTTTTTTGCAGTATGCCACTTCAAAGAAGACAGAAGGGTGGGCGGTTTCTTAACCACTACTACTTTCCAGGAGCACAGGGCTCAGGTAAAATTAACATTATCAATGTAGGAGGTTTAATAGGCTTTACAAAAATGACGTCATACTAAATGTACTTTTCTACATCCTTTTTTTTTTAACTCAAAAATACCTAGAGAAAGAAAATCCTTCCAAGTTCTGGTACAGCTCTTTCCCGTTCTTTTTAATGTCCTCATGTTTGTTTCCCTTCATCTCACTTAAACAGTTAAAAAGAAAAAAACATTTCACTTAAATTTGGGAGTTTCTGTAGCTGCTAAACTTGGGGTTCCTAAAGCTACATTTAATTTTGCAAAATATATTTTTTTTCTTAGAATCTTCTCACAACCTGCCCCCCACCCCGAGCCTACCCTGGGAAAGAGAATGTTCGCGACACCTTTCCCTTTGTCTTCCCGGTCGAGCTCCTTTCCGGAAGCAGAAGTCTACCAGACCCACCCACGTTCTTCTGTCAGTGAGAGTCGGGAACTTTTAACTCCAGTTCCTCGTCCCTCCTTGGTCCGCAGAAACATCATCGGAAGGGGGCCCTAGGGGAGCGCCAGGGGTCGGCATCGTCTCCCTCGCTAGCACTTCAAAAACACCTCTGAATATTGAAAGGCAAACCGAACACATCTGTAAGGAACGAGACATACCACAAAGACATGTTTCCAGGATCCTTTTAAGGATAAGAAACAATAAGATTTTACCTATGTTTTTTGGGAAAAAAGAAACAGAACTAAAGCGCCTTAGTCCTTAGATGGGAAATACCTTTTATAAGTTAGTCGAAGGGAGGGAGATTCTAGGTCACGGGAGGGGGTCAGCCGATCCTCCCCAGTTAGCAAGGTTCAGGCAGTAGCTAAATGTTGGTTTAAGACACGCTGGCATAACCCCGAGTCACCTCATTTACTGATTTTAAATAAGGAGCCATAAGAATTTGAAATGCACATTGGGTGTCACCCTAGCCTTGAAGGTCCACTGCCAAGGCGGAAAAAAAAAGGAAAAAAAAAGCGCCCTTTCTCCTCCTGGTCCTGGCTCCCGGAGGTGCCAGGCTGTAATCTGCAAATGTATTGTCTGGCCCCAGGGGCTTGACAGTTAATGATTTGCCGCAGACCGAGCCCGCGGGGCAGAGGAGAGAGGGGCGCGAGCGAGCGCGGGAGCGCGGGCGCCGGGGCGAGCCGAGCCTCCACCGGCCGCACAGGCGCCGCCTCCCGTCTTCCGGACCCGACACTTCGAGGGGTTCCGGGCGCCGGAGACCGCGGGGCTCCCATGGAGGCCGCCTCGCCGGGGGGACCCGGCGCCCCGCCGCCGCCGCCGCCGGAGCAGGGAGCGGCGCGCGCATCGGTCGGCCTGCTGCGCCGGGTCAAGGGCAAACTCTGCACCTGGTGCGTAGGGGCCGGCGGGGCGGCGGGGCGCGCGGGGGCTCGCACGTGGCGGCCGCGCGGGCGGGGAGCTGGTCCGGGCGGCTCGACACGTGCGTCAGGGATGGTGCTCTTTCCTAGCTTTAGGAAGCGCTCGGTGCGCCTTCCCGGGCCCCCCCTCTTAGAAATCTTGGGAATGCATTTCCGAAGATCTGGGGGACATTCACCCTGTTGGCATTGTTGGGTCGATCCCCGGGGGCCTCCCAGCCGAGAGGGGACGAACTGCCCTGGGATGCTGTGAAGGAGGGGTATCCACCCTTGGGCTTGGGAGCGGCGAGGGCTCCCCTTCCTGGCGCCGGCGCCCACCTTCCTCCGCTGCCGAGCCCGTCAGACCCGGCGGGCGATCCTCACTAACAGTTGCGTTCATCCCAAGTAAGAAATCTGGGCTGAGTTTTGTGGTGCCGCCCGAGGTGGTCCAGAGCTCGCCTCCTTCCCGGGCCCCGCGAAGCGATGTAGCCGCCTTTGGGGCTGGGATCCAGGGAAGCCTGCTTCTGTTGTCACTGTGCTCTGCGGGAAGAGGAAAAGTGCTCCAGGGATTGGCAGCGGCCCTGGGACGGGGAAGGCATTTCTGAGGTTACTGGACGACTTGCATTCTGGAAATTCAGACAACTCAGGACCTATAAATAATGAAAGCCAACCTTTATTGAGCATTCACTGTGGCGGGTACTGTGCTTAGCAGTTTGTATGGACAACATCATTTAACCCTGAGCACTTCAGGAGATGGCACAGTTGTTACCCCTACTTTGCAGGTGGAGAAACAAAGAAGGCTGGACAATTTCCCCAAGGCCGGTAATGGGTGGCGCCTGCCAGCCCTAGTCGAAACTGGCCTTAACTACTCCTGGCCGCTGGCACCCCATGAAACACCCCATGAAAATTACATATATGAGCTCTTTTTTTCATTAAGATTTTCAGTCCCCCCTCTGGCAACTGTCCAGACACAAATTCTGGTTAGCAGTTTCTCCTTGTCTAACCCAGCAATCAGAAAAATGTAGTTTACCAGATGTCCAATTATATACATATAATTTATTATTTTTTATATATTTTATATATAATATATAGAATTCTTTTTACATTGCAAAGAGAATTTTCTGTTAAAGGTTGTGAAAACCATGTCTTAAGAAGTCATACCATTTCCAAAACTAGAACAGTAATGGTGTATGTATTTCTGTCATGTAAATAAACATAGTTTTAAACAGCTGCGTGCGGTTTAAAGGGGAAATTTGGCCAAAAATCACGTTGTATCATCCAGCTATATACAGTATGTCCTGCAGTCAAATGCTCTACCCCCTGAGCTATGTATCCCTCCTTGCCTTACAGTATGTCCTGATAAAGTTAGTCATAAGTTCTCAGCTGGGAGACAGTGTGGTGTGAAGGCTAAGGGTACAGATTCTGGACTCACAGCTTGCTTGTGCCTCTTACTGGGTGACGTTGGGCAAGTCACTTAACTTCTCTGTGCCCCAGTTTTTCTACTTGTAGAATGGGGATATCAGTACCTATTTGTCAAGGATGTTGTGAGGATTAAGTGGCTGACTACACAGGAGTGGCAGACAGCCAGGCTCATGGTACTACTCTGTTCAGGTCAGTTGTCCCCCACCATCTGGCCCCCATTCCTGGATGATAGAAAGATGTGTTGTTGGTCCAGGAGGTGGTAGCAACCTTGTTGATGGGGCAGGAAATATGGCAGTTCAGTTTAGCAAGACATGACAAGGATTAGCAATGAATTTTTTTTTCCCTGAACGCTCTAATATTTTCAAAATCTGGTAATGTTTTTACTGGGAATCCCAGTCAGGAATATCTAGTAGCTTCCTAAATACGAGATTTCTTCTGTCTCTGGACACCCCTTTTTTTGTACTTCCTGTGTAGATTTTCACTTTCTTCCCTGTGGTATAGCTGTTTGTAGACATGTGACATTTCTGATAGGTGGAGTCCTTAAGAGCAGGAATCAAGTCTTTTAAATTTTTGTATTTCCCACACCCCCCATAATGAATGAATGCCTTAAATGAATGAGTGAATGAGGGAGGACAAAGGTTCTTGAGGCTCCCTTTCCTTTCTGCCATCCTTACATTCCTCCCTGTACTGATCTTTATTGTGAGGGTCTTGGGCTGGACTTTTTCTATTTTTCTGGTTGACAGGGCTCTTTTTTTCATTAAGATTTTCAGTCCCACCTCTGGCAACTGTCCAGACACAAATTCTGGTTAGCAGGTTCTGCTTGTCTGACCCAGCAATCAGAAAAATGCAGTTTACCAGATGTCCAGTACTCCTTACAGTCAGTATTTTAAACCCTCAGTATTACAGCTCATCCCCTAAATTTGACTTTAGCTCCATGAGTCCCTGACCGTGGCCAGGGGACCACAGGCGCTGGAGAGGGGTGGTGAGAAGATATGCTGTCACCATACGGATAGGATGTAAAGGGATACTTTGTGACCACACAACTGTTTTTTACTCCTTTTACCAAAAGAGGGCCATAATAGTTCTTTTGGCAGCTGAGTACTAAATAGCAGGGGAAAGGTTTAGGGCCTTGACCTGGTTCTGCTTTCATTATTAGAGGGCTATTTTCCAGGTAACTCAAACTCCTGATGTACCTGCCTCAGTAATGGATTGATAACTTTTCTCTGTGATTAAGAATATATGTTCACTCCATCCGTAAAAGTTTATTGAGGACCTACTACATGCCAGGCACTCATGATAATGAGCTCTCGGTGTTTCCAAGTGGACTCTGCTTGTAATTAGGGCTTTTGTCATTTATTACTGTCAACTCAAATGACAAATACTGTGATAGCAGGAGATGGGTTTCCAGGAGTACTTGAGGACATTTATTTAATTGTATGTATACCATCTGGCAGATTATATCCTAACACATATGCTCCAATTCAAATATGGGAAAAAAAGTTGTTTCTCATCATGACTGTCAAGTTTATATCTCTAGCAAAAATTAATTATTATTTCACAGTTTTATCCTTTCCCATCAAATAGATGGTAAGCTTTCTGAGGGCATAGATTTAGCACAGTTCAGGACATGTATTCATTCATTCATTCATTCTTTTATTTGACAAACCTTGACCCTCTGTGATGGTCTAGGTTCTAGACTAGTCTCTGGGCTTTTAAGATAGATAGAATATAGTTCCTGATCTCAAGAGAGCTCATAATCTAATTATAGTAAGGAGTTATGATAAGTGCTATAGAGATGAGCACAAAGTGCAGGCGGCACAAAGGAGGCCGGAGAGCAAGTCTACCAGGGCGAGGTAGGGTTGACGAGCTTGCTAGAGAAGGTGATCGGGAATCTGAAGCAGGAGTGGGAGCCTTCCAGGTGGACTAGGTGAGGATGGACAGTGCAGGCGTAGAGATGCCAGAGAGTGTTTTGCTCAAGGACCTGCAAGTAGTTTAGTGTGAGGGGGCACGAAGGAGGAATGAACAACCGTAGTTGGTCGGTCTGCACGTGCACTCCTTGTTACTGACTAGTACAGGGGGCCTGGCCCTTTGCATCCTCCTTTCTGCTCGTTTTCCTCATTTCAAAGGTTAAATCCCAGAAACTTTTTTTTTTAAATGGAGGTACTGGGGATTGAACCCAGGACCTTGTGTGTGCTAAGCATGTGCTCTGCCACTGAGCTATACACACCCACCCACCCCGGCCAAGGACTGGAAACTTTTGAAGGAGTCGTTTAGTGACACTTAACTGTATGGCCTTCATCTCTTCACTCAACAAACATCTACTGAGTACTCACCATGTGCACAACACATCCCTGAGCTAGGATGTAGCCCTGCTGAAGAGTATTGTTCTGTAGTGCTAATTCAGTCAAACATGTAAGTTGAAGGACCTTTCTGTGGCCTTTGCAAGTGGGGCATTAGGGAATTGTAGATCCTGCCAGTCCCCAAAATATCTCCTTCCCTCCCCCTTTTATTTGTGGGATTATTTAATTAATATCTGCCTCTTCTACTAGACTTCAGGAGGTAAGGAGTCCAGTCTAGTTTTGGTCACTGTTGTGTTCTCTGCCAGGCGTAGCACCTACCTTGTAAATAGATACACAGCGAACATCAGATGATTGACTAAATGAATCCTTAATTCCAAAGAGGAATTTTATAATAGATTACGTCTCTTCTTTTTAAAAAACAATTTCCATTCAGCACTGTATGTTTGTGACCCAGTCATGCTGTTTGGTTCATCTAGTCCAGTGTTTCTCAGTCTCAGGTTATTGACATTTTGGATCAAATAGTTCTCTGTTCTGGGGCGGGCCTGTGCACCCTAGGGTGTAGCAGCACCCCTGACCTCTGCCCTCCAGAGGCCAGTATAGCACTACCCCCAACCCCTTACCTGTGCGTTGACCATCAATAATCTTCCCAGACATTGTCAGGTGTCTCCTTGCAACAAAATCACCCCTGCTTGAGAACCACTGATCTAGCCTATTGCCTCCAGCTGTCTGCTGCAGAGCATTCTGTGGTTCCAAGGTCCTCCAGTGACGGACACTCAGATGGTTTCCAGCTCCCAGCCACAAACAACACTGCGATGAGCATTCCCATGCATGTCCCCTTGTGCACAAGGAGACCCAATGGCTAGGCCCGGGTCCAAGTCCCTCCAGGGGACTTTAAGCAGAAGGGAGGCGATGAATCCCAGAGTGGAGAATCCTTGGGCATTACAGAACCCCTGTTGATTGCTGTGGTTCGACACCCTTTTTCCAGGCAGTTCAGTGACCATGGCCTTAGCAGCAGCTGCTCTGGGAGACGGAGCAGGCAGACTCTCTAGGCTGTAGTCCAAAAACACTAGAAGCATGGAGGGGGTGGGTGGAGGAATGGCTCCTGGCTAGCAAGCCTGAACCTTTTAACTTCTCAGTGCTGCAGGGAGTTGTTAAAGGGATAGGCAAATGCAATGTAGGGGAGCGGTAAGGGTGGGCCTGAAAAACCTTCCACTTGGCCTTGGGCTGTTCTCTGCCCCAGGGTGTGTGTAGTCCTCTCCCTGCCCCCAGACCAGT